AGGGGGGGGGGGGTGCACCTTTCCCCCTTAAGAAGGACGTTAAGTCATTTCACATTGCTTTTACTTTCTTCTTTTATTGTAAATATTCCATCTAAAACTATGAAAATGTAGTAAGTGGAAAATATCAAATTATATTGACTTTGGTTGTATAAAAAGTTTTCTTCCCTAAGAATAGTTTCAGGAATGATTCTAGTGGAAGTTAAGAGAGATGGAAAAAAACCTTGATTACATGATCATTTTAGAGAACATAAAGTAATAATAATGTATAAATAAATAAATATTTCATTACTTCTTCAATGAGAAGAGAAAATGAATTTGGTTCTTTAAATATGAAAAAAAAAGAAGGTAAAAGTTTTCCAGTAATCTGAGAAAGACTTTTCTTCTGTCTAAGGGGTCACTTCTCCCTTCTCCCCCGAAAAGAATATAAACCGATAAAACTTATTGAATTCATCATAATATAAATAGAAAAATATCTAATGAATATTCCAATGTAAAAAAATAATATATAAATCTTCAACCATCAAGGAATGTGCTCATACTTAATTAGTCATTTCAAATTCGAATACTAGAAATAAAAAAATTCTGGCATAATTGAAAGCCCACACCAGTTTAGGGCAAAGTTAAAAATTTAGAAAATAAGTTGCGAGTTAGTAATACTCAAATCTTATAATTAAATTTTTTACCAAATAAGTTAAATTATAGATTTCAATCTAAGTAAGTAAATGTAATGTGGTAAGTCAACTAAAATCTACAAAATTTAGATCCTTAAAATTGAACTCAAACTTGTAAAATTTAAATCCTAAAGTCATCTCCTTCAAAATTGCTTAAAAATTAATCAAAATATGAGGTAGTATGATAGGGAACACGTGATATAATTTGGCACGATAAAACCGAGGCTGCATCTCATCATCACCGTTGGATCTCAAACCCTCAAATCCGTCGATAAACCCCTCTTATCCTCTCTCTCTCAATTTCACCTACTCTTTCCTACTGCTCTCTCTCTCTCTGCTTTTCCCTTTTTTCGCCTCTCCAGAAACTGAGGCACAATTAGAAAGATCTTCTCTTTTTCTACTATATATCTCTTAACCATACCCTTTTTCTTCTCACTATCTTCGTCATCACCGACATAGCCTGGTAATTTTCTCTCTTCTTTTGGTCATTTTTACTGTTTTTGTTACCATTGTTATACGTTTTTACTGTGCTTTTTAGTTCTTGGCAAAAAGGTTCTTAATTTATGCCGTACTATGATCTGATTTTAGTATAGTTATTTGAGTTTCTGTGTTTTATGAGTCCGAATAGATTATGTAGTCTTTTGGGTGCTAGGGTTTTCATTTTTCCTCGGCTTTTGTTTGCTGCTGATTTTTAATTGCGGGAAAAAGGAGTTCTCTTATGTGTATTCTAAGCTATATTAAGATCTCATTTCACTGTGGTTAATTAGGTTTCTGTGTTTTAATTCCTTTCTATTGCTTTATGGGTCCGAATTGATAATGGAGTCCTTTGGGTACCTGGTTTTTTTTTGCCTTGATTTTGTTTCCTGCTGATTTTAATGGATATTCTCAGCTCTATAGTGATTTTACTTTAGTTAATTGGGTTTCTGGCCTAGTGCCGAGGGTCTATTGGAAATAGCCTCTACATTCACTATAGGGTTAAGGTCTGCATACTATCTACACTCCCCAAACCCCACTCGTGGGGCTATACTGGGTTTTTTGTTGTTGTTGTTGTTGTTGGGTTTCCAGGGTTTAATCTATTTTTATTTCCTTATAAATACAAATAAATAATGTAGTCTTTTGGGTTGTAGGATTTTTTTGCCTTTGATTTTTGTTTACTGCTAATATTTTCATGATTGGCTTGCGTAGTTCTTTGTTGGTTTTGATTTGTATTGCTTATAGGCCGGAATTGAAAATGTGCGCCTTTTGAGTGCTAGCATTATTATTTATCTGATACTAATTTCTTCTTGATTTGTTTCTGTGTTTGTTGTTGATTTTGTTATGTGAATCTAGGTTTCGTTGAGGTTTATTTGTGATGGAAAATGGGGAGGAAGTATTTGGCAAGGCTGGGATAGGGGAGAGGAATGGTGTCGTAGATGAGACTGTGGAATTGCAGGCGGAGGATAAGGCAGCTGTGAGGCCAGATGTGTCAAAGGAATTGGAAGAGGATGATGTGTTTGAGGAAGCAATAGAGCCAGAGAATCCTGGTGTTGATGTTGAGGATGGAGTTGTCAGTGAGGGCAATGATGGCAAGTCTGGGAATGTTAACTGTTCTTTGGAGGACGGCGAGAATTCTGATTCAAGGGATGATGCTGACAACTTTGAGGAAGCAGTTGAAGCTTCGCATGAGATACAGCATGCCGATGATGAGTCTAACCAGAAGTCAGAAGCTAAATGGAACGAGGAGCCTTCAGTTGAGAAGCAAAGTGCTGATGAAATAGCTGCAAAGGGGAACTCTGATTCAAGGGATGATTTTGAGAACTTTGAAGAAGCAGTTGAAGCTTCACACGAGATACAACATGCTGATGATGAATTGAATCAGAAGTCAGAAGCTAACTGTAACGAGAATCCTTCAGTTGAGAAGCAAAGTGATGATGAGATATCTGCAAATAATGAAAAAGAAGTGGTTGAGCAGAGTAACATAGTAGACAAGGGTAAAGATGAGGTGGCTGAGGTTTCAGATCTGGGTGCTGCTGTAGAAACTGAAATTTCAGTAAATTGGGATGAAAAGAAAGATAAGTCAGCTGAACCAGTTAAGAAATCTGAGAATGGAGTTTCCCATCATGTGAACCTGGGAGAGGCTCAAACTCATGATGATGCAGATGAAACAAACCCTGATGTTCTTGGAAAATTGGATACCCAGGATGCTAACGAGGCAAAAGTGGATCTTCAGAACCAGGTTCATTCGTACAAAGATGCTTTGCTGCGTGATGAAAAGAATGTTGATGTGATCGAAACATCTGCTGTTCAGCCTGCTGGGCATCAGGACACTGCTGACGTCCACAACAATGTTTCAGTTAGTTCTGGCTCCGTACTGAATGATGAAAAAAATATTGAACAGGAAGGAGTGCATTCTCTTCTTGTAAAACCTGTGAATTCTGATGTTAAGGATGAAGAGCTGAAAGATATTTCCCATAATGATACTTCCACAAATGGTCATCTTGGAGAAAGCTTGAACCCAAGTGATGAACTCAAAGAAGAAGTAGTGCCTACTCCAGAACAAATTAATGGTAGTTATGTGGATAAAGAGCATATGGATATAGAAAGAAAAGTGCGTAGTCCGGAACAAGTTAATGGTAGTAATAAGGATGAAGAGCTGCAGATAGATGGAGAAAAAGCAGTACGTAGTATAGAACCAGTTAACAGTAAGGATGAAGAGCAAATAGATGGAGAAAAAGCCGTGGCTAGTCCAGAACCAGTTAATGGTAGTAGTAAGGATGAACAGCAGATCGACGGTCCAGGCCATGTTACTGCTTCTACTCTGCAAGGAGGAAGCTCCCCCTTAAAGGCAGAATTGAGAGACAAAGAATCAACTAGCCCAGAACCAACAGCTCATGAGGACATGGTGGAACAAAAGGATATTCAGAACGGTGATGCTACTGATCATCAAAGATTGGAATTAAACGAGTCGCCTGCTACTGGGCCAGGGAATTTGAATGACACGATAAACAAGCAGAAAAATGTTTCTGTTTCTGGCACTCCAGCCTTTGAAAAGCATACCGGAGATTCAGTAATGGATAGAACCACTGCACTGGATGAAATGTCTGAATCATCAGAAGTGTTGATGTCCAACAATCATGAGAAGGTCTCCGAGGTTCCTCAACCTCCAGTAGTTGATGCAGGCGTTGGAGTCGATAAAGTTGTTGTGAAGGAACCAGAAGCCAGATCTGCAACGGAACTCCCATCATCTTCTGGTGCACCTGCAACTCGGATACANAACTCTGATTCAAGGGATGATTTTGAGAACTTTGAAGAAGCAGTTGAAGCTTCACACGAGATACTACATGCTGATGATGAGTCGAATCAGAAGTCAGAAGCTAACTGTAACGAGGATCCTTCAGTTGAGAAGCAAAGTGATGATGAGATATCTGCAAATAATGAAAAAGAAGTGGTTGAGCAGAATAACATAGTAGGCAAGGGTAAAGATGAGGTGGCTGAGGTTTCAGATCTGGGTGCTGCTGTAGAAACTGAAATTTCAGTAAATTGGGATGAAAAGAAAGATAAGTCAGCTGAACCAGTTAAGAAATCTGAGAATGGAGTTTCCAATCATGTGAACTTGGGAGAGGCTCAAACTCATGATGATGCAGATGAAACAAACCCTGATGTTCTTGGAAAATTGGATACCCAGGATGCTAACGAGGCAAAAGTGGATCTTCAGAACCAGGTTCATTCGTACAAAGATGCTTTGCTGCGTGATGAAAAGAATGTTGATGTGATCGAAACATCTGCTGTTCAGCCTGCTGGGCATCAGGACACTGCTGACGTCCACAACAATGTTTCAGTTAGTTCTGGCTCCGTACTGAATGATGAAAAAAATATTGAACGGGAAGGAGTGCATTCTCTTCTTGTAAAACCTGTGAATTCTGATGTTAAGGATGAAGAGCTGAAAGATACTTCCCATAATGATGCTTCCACAAATGGTCATCTTGGAGAAAGCTTGAACCCAAGTGATGAACTCAAAGAAGTAGTGCCTAGTCCAGAACAAATTAATGGTAGTTATGTGGATGAAGAGCATATGGATATAGAAAGAACAGTGCCTAGTCCGGAACAAGTTAATGGTAGTAATAAGGATGAAGAGCTGCAGATAGATGGAGAAAAAGCAGTACGTAGTATAGAACCAGTTAACAGTAAGGATGACGAACAAATAGATGGGGAAAAAGCCATGGCTAGTCCAGAACCAGTTAATGGTAGTAGTAAGGATAAACAGCAGATCGACAGTCCAGGCAATGTTACTGCTTCTGCTCTGCAAGGAGAAAGCTCCCCCTTAAAGGCAGAATTGAGAGACAAAGAATCAACTAGCCCAGAACCAACAGCTCACGAGTACATGGCGGAACAAAAGGATATTCAGAACGGTGATGCTACTGATCATCAAAGGCTGGAATTAAACGAGTCGCCTGCTACTGGACCAGGGAATATGAATGACAAGATAAACAAGCAGAAAAATGTTTCTGTTTCTGGCACTCCAGCTTTTGAAAAGCATACCGGAGATTCAGTAATGGATAGAACCACTATGCCGGATGAAATGTCTGAATCATCAGAAGTGTTGATGTCCAACAATCATGAGAAGGTCTCCGAGGTTTCTCAACCTCCAGTAGTTGATGCAGGCGTTGGAGTCGATAAAGTTGTTGTGAAGGAACCAGAAGTTAGATCTGCAACGGAGCTCCCATCATCTTCTGGTGCACCTGCAACTCGGATACACGCACCTGCTCGACCTGCTGGCCTTGGTCGTGCTGCCCCGCTATTGGAACCTGCTACTCGAGCAGTCCAGCAGCCTCGTGTAAATGGAACAGCATCTCCTGCACAAAACCAGCTTGTTGAAGAATCCACAAATGGAGAGGCTGATGAATATGATGAGACACGTGAGAAGCTCCAGATGATAAGAGTCAAGTTTTTGCGTCTAGCTCATAGGCTTGGGCAGACTCCACATAATGTGGTTGTTGCCCAAGTCTTGTACAGATTGGGGTTGGCTGAACAGCTGCGGGGGAGAAGTGGAGGTCGTGTTGCTGCTTTTAGTTTTGATCGTGCAAGTGCTATGGCTGAGCAACTTGAGGCAGCTGGACAAGAACCCTTGGACTTCTCTTGCACAATAATGGTTCTTGGGAAAACAGGTGTCGGTAAAAGTGCAACCATAAATTCGATATTTGATGAAGTTAAGTTTGGCACTGATGCTTTTCAGTTAGGGACAAAAAAGGTTCAGGATGTTGTTGGGACTGTGCAGGGAATCAAGGTTCGAGTAATTGATACTCCTGGGCTTCTGCCTTCCTGGTCAGACCAGCGCCAGAATGAGAAGATCCTTCATTCCGTGAAACGATTTATTAATAAGACACCCCCGGATATTGTTCTGTATCTTGACAGGTTGGATATGCAGAGCAGAGATTATGGTGATATGCCGTTGTTGAGGACAATTACCGAAATTTTTGGACCGTCAATATGGTTTAATGCCATAGTTGTTCTGACGCATGCTGCATCTGCTCCACCTGAAGGCCCCAATGGTACTGTAACGANTATTAATAAGACACCCCCAGATATTGTTCTGTATCTTGACAGATTGGATATGCAGAGCAGAGATTATGGTGATATGCCGTTGTTGAGGACAATTACCGAAATCTTTGGACCATCAATATGGTTTAATGCCATAGTTGTTCTGACGCATGCTGCATCTGCTCCACCTGAAGGCCCCAATGGTACTGTAACGAGCTATGACATGTTTGTAACTCAGCGGTCTCATGTTGTCCAGCAAGCAATACGTCAGGCTGCCGGAGATATGCGCCTTATGAATCCTGTTTCGCTAGTGGAAAATCACTCAGCATGCAGGACAAACAGGGCTGGACAAAGAGTGTTGCCAAATGGACAGGTTTGGAAGCCTCACTTGTTACTTCTGTCGTTTGCGTCAAAAATATTGGCTGAAGCAAACACATTGCTTAAATTACAAGATAGCCCACCAGGCCGGCCTTATGCCACTAGAACAAGATCTCCTCCTTTACCTTTCCTGCTGTCATCCCTTCTACAGTCAAGGCCACAGGTTAAACTACCAACGGATCAATTTGGTGATGACGATGAGACCTTGGATGATGATCTGGATGATTCTTCAGACTCAGAAGATGAATCAGAATATGATCAACTGCCACCTTTCAAACGCTTGACCAAAGCTCAGCTGGCAAAGTTGTCCAAAGACCAGAAGAAAGCATACAATGATGAGTTGGAATACAGGGAAAAGCTTTTTATGAAAAAGCAATTGAAGGAAGAGAGGAAGAGGCGGAAGATGATGAAGAAAATGCAAGCTGCAGCTGAAAGTTTACCACCAACTGATCCCAGCGAAAATGTAGATGAGGAGACTAGCGGTGCAGCATCAGTGCCAGTACCCATGCCAGACTTGGCGTTACCAGCGTCATTTGATTCTGATAATCCAACTCATAGATATCGATATCTCGATTCTTCTAATCAGTGGCTTGTGAGGCCTGTCCTAGAACCTAATGGTTGGGACCATGATGTTGGTTATGAGGGCATCAATGTAGAAAGATTGTTTGTTGTCAAAGACAAGATCCCTATATCTTTGTCCAGTCAGGTTTCGAAGGACAAAAAGGACACCAATCTTCAAATGGAAATTGCAAGTTCAGTGAAGCATGGAGATGGAAAAGCAACTTCTGTAGGTTTTGACATGCAGTCAGTTGGTAAAGACCTTGCTTATACTCTTCGCAGTGAGACCAGATTCTGCAATTATAGGAAGAATAAGGCGACAGCTGGTCTTTCAGTAACTCTCTTAGGTGATGTCATGACAGGTGGGGTGAAAGTTGAGGACAAATTTGCTTTTAATAGACGGGGACTATTGGTTGTGTCTGGGGGTGCCATGTTTGGCCGTGGTGATGTTGCTTATGGTGGTAGTTTGGAAGCAACGTTGCGAGACAAAGATCATCCTCTTGGTCGTTTCCTCTCAACTTTGGGGCTCTCGGTTATGGACTGGCATGGAGATCTTGCTATTGGATGCAATTCACAAACCCAGATACCTATTGGACGACACACAAACTTGATTGGCCGTGTGAACATTAACAATAAGGGGTCTGGACAAGTTAGTATTCGTTTGAACAGTTCAGAACAGCTTCAGATTGCCTTGGTAAGCTTAATTCCACTTGTCCAAAAGCTGCTTAGCTTCTCTCAACCAGTGCAATTTTGATGATGATGAAAATAAGGCCACTGCACCATACTGCCATTCAGTGATTCACAAATCACTTCTATAGTGGCCATCAGCTGATCGGCATCACTGAACGTGAGTATGTCCTTTTTTTTCCTGGTTTCTTTCTCAGCCATAATATTCATGGACTTTATTGGTTGCTGTTATTTCGGGTGAGCATTTTCTGGAGATGTTTTGAACCTTTTTTATGGGGAAAAGATGCTCTTTTTGTGGTTTTACAATTATTTCTTCCATGATGTGAACTGCATTCATATTTCAGTAGCTTTTGGGTTATTTATTCCATCTGATTGCACTGGTTCTCAACTTGGATCTGCTGTAGCTCTTGCTTTTTCAGTTTTACCATTAATAAACTACATCTCTAGTCTTTATATTCGCATTGCATATGTATCTTTGACCTTATAGTTGCACTTCACGGTTAGTCTGAATCGTTCTATGTTTATAAACTTAGGTAAAAGAACTTGTGTGCATCAAGATGATGATGCTGGGAACAGTTTATAAGACAGAAAGTTATAAGGTGGATAAAGAGGAAAAACCTTTATCCTATTCTGTTCCCATAAGATGCATGATGTGATCTGTTACACTGCTTCAAAATTCCAGCTGTCAAATCAATAACCTCTGGTGTGCATTGATATTGATAGAAAGAATGCACACTAAAGGTTCAAAGTGTGTTTTATGGTCTATCTGAATACACTTTTCCTCCCCGACGAGGAACCTCTGGTTGATGTTTGACTAATTCTACTCCTATCCAAATGTATACTCAATGTCTTACTCTATGTTGAAGAAAGGTGAAGTCGATATTTAAGTTTGTCACTTACCTAAAGCTTTGCCTATTGTGGTTAAAACTAGTACCTTGCAGATTTGATTGTAGAACTTTCTGTCTTATACCTTGCAATGTAGGCTCTTTATTTTGCTTAAGATATACCCGTGTCAAATGGCTGTGGAATGGGTATAAGTTCTTGTGGGTCCTGCAAAGTATGAAAAGAACTTGCTTTAAATTGAACAAGCCCAAGTCCATATAGTAATGCTGAAGAATTAGACAACTGAACGTGATCTACTTGAAGTGGGCTGGATGGATTTATATGAAGTTTGTTATTGACTGGAAAATGTTCCTATACTTCTGATTAGTATCTGCAATTGTGTTTAAGGAATAGTGATCTTGTATCTGAATGTTGCTTCCCATATGAGGAAATGCTATCTGTTGAGATTCAATGCCTGCCTCATTTCAGCTTTAGCTGTTTATTTTGATTCCATGTTTGGTGAAGTGGCTTGTCAGTTCTATCTTGATGACTTCCTATGCTGATATAAACTAACTAATGTGCAGATGCACATTGTTTTCTTGAGACGAGAGCGAGAGAGGAGATGGGCTTCATGAGGAAAAATGTATGTCCAAGATCATCTGAAAGCATTCGGTTGTAGCCTAAGAAGAGAGTTTAGCCAACCCCCCTCTTCAAATTTCAATTTTGGTTAGTATCATGAAACTGAGATTGAATGTTCTTGTAAACTTGATTGGGAAACGTTAGCTAGTTAAGTTTCTAAATAGATAATGAAAAATGGGTTAATGGTATAGCAAGTTGAGTTTAGCTATTGTAATATGGGGCTGCTGTTATGCCGCTGATGAGCTGTTCCGGTATGCTCTTTTCCCGGGCTACATCGAACTGCATTTTTGTATTTGGTCTGCACTTCCTGGTTAAGTAGTTTCTAGTCTGGAGATTAATTGCGAGATTTTAACGATTGGAGTTTGCTTAGCCCAGTCGGATGGATGCTTGTGCTTTTATTCTACTAATAATAGTAACATACAAAGCCAAGTGGAAGATCCAAAGCAGAATGATCATCTGCTGTCTATTTACCAGACATTGTAGCCATCAAATGGCCTCTCTGCCGTTCTCTTATCTTTTCTAGCATTGCAAGTAGTATTGAAATATGATTTATTACTTTTGATAGATTCATCGTTTCCTATTGTTTTCAGTTGCGAGCCATGTGCTCCTTGATTGATAAACCTTTTGTCGATTAGTGTACAGACTTGTGTCAATATGCTTTTCGATTGCTCCATCAAGCCAATCTCTTTGTCCATTACTTGAATGGAATCTCCTCTGGTAGAATGTCTTATTTTAATTGCTAAACGAACAGTAATTATGTAATGTATATCTATCTATATCTATCTATACTATATTAAAAGTGGGAAGCCCTTAAGACAAAAGTTAAATTACCAAAGTATCCTTTAATTAACCTATAAATAGTTTCTTTTAATATAAATAAAAAAACTAAAGCCTACAAGGGAACTTAACTTTCCATCAGGCGCCTATTCAGAAGAAACCTGTTTCTAAGTTTTAACACTTTGAATTCTTCACATCAATAGTCACAGCTCTTAAAAGAAAGCCTTTTTTTGTTGTTGCTAAAAACTTTTAATACAAAACCTAACACCTACAAACAACTCCTAAATAACTAATTAAAAATGTGCACTATGGATATATGTAGTTACTCGAATTTACAAAGGGATGAGTCTCTCCATTCAAGTCAACCATCATTCATATGGAGTACTAGACAATGCTTAGAGTAACTTAATGTGCAAGATTTTGTTTACAATGAACTCACATCAGATTTAAACCTTGCTTGAATGTTGGTCTAATGTAACACCCCCACCCCGTACATTCGGAGTAGGTGTGGATATGTTAAATGAGTATTAATCTGATATTTTAGGTAAAAATTGCACGAGGCGCCCTATTTGGTCGCCTCCATTTAACCTATATCCATTTTTTAAAAAACTTTTAACTTGTACCCACTTTTTAAACAACTTCAGCCCTCTTTCTCCTCCTTCTCCTCCTCAAAGTTATATCCGCCCTTAACCTCTTGAGATTAAACTTCTACTTCATTTTCCTCCAGGCAAACAATCATCGGCAGGAGAACAATATCATAGATCTCTACGTTCTGCTTCTCAGATATGCAGGGTAAACATATATTTCCATGTTGATAACTTCTTGAGGGCATATTAATACCTATATATGAGTAATTTTTTTATATTTCTGTTCGTGCTACCAGTATTTTGTCAGAAACTATACCTTTTCACCGAAACTACATTACTTCAGGTGATACAGAAAAGAGACCTTACAAAAAGGTAATTAAGCAGTGTCTCTAATATCTAATTTGTGAAAGTTGCATATTCATATTTTCAGCCTTATGGATGTTGAATTAGTCATTAGTGGGATGTGATTTCAGAAATTACGGGATGTCGTTCGTGAGCTGGAGTCCTTAAGGCCAAAAGTTGAAAAGGAAATTACCAAAGTGAACAAAGAACTTCTAGAGCTGAAGTTCTCCAGTTACAAAACAAAAGCTTCAGCTCTAGAGCTGAAGTTCTCCAGTTACAAAACAAAAACTTCAGCTTTAGAGCTGAAGTTCGCCAATTACAAAAACAAAACTCCAGCTCTAGAGCTGAAATTTGCCAGTTACAAAACAAAAACTTTAGCACACTTGGTTCAGCACACTTGGGTCCCGTCTACTAGAATGCTGAAGTTTTGCGTGATTGCCTTTGCTACTTTAGCCCCGTATGCTGAAGTTACGCGAAAAAGTGGGTACACTTGCAATTTTTTTTTGCAAAGCAAGCACAAGTTAAAACGTGACCCAAAAAGCGGGTATAGATGCAAATGCCCATATTTTAGACATATGAAGTCCTAGCGGTATGAGTATGAGTGAAAATAGTTGTTTTAGAATCAAGATGAAGAATGAGGTGCATAAGATTCGATAAAATATACAAAGTTTACAAAAGGTCAGTTTTGTATGTGATTGTTCATAAAAATTATATTTTATTAGTTATGTATATTTATTTATTCAAAGCTTTGTTTTTATAATATTGCTATTATTACAAAAATTATATAATATATGACTTGATATACACGTGCCGAAAGACTAGTTAATGATTAAAAACCCAACAGTATTAACAAGCAAATAGACCAGGTGCCTCGATTTAACATATAATGCTATAGCGCACAGCTAAACTGATGGAGTACGAAATATGGCGAGTTTGCAAAATAAACTGAGCAACACAGACATACACAACAATTCGTTGTTAGTTATTGTATGTTTTATGCGACGTGGGCGTAAGGCGAGACGTTTTATATATGCCTCAGCGAGGCATAAGCTCCATGGGTATTAATTTTTAATATTTTATAAAATAATATAATTATAGTAAATATTTATAAATGGGTAAAATTGCATAAAAATTGAAGAAAACTATAAATCTTCTATATTATATTAAAAGCACGAAGGTCCTTAGCGAAATGTCGTTCGCCTTTTTTACCCTTTAAAAACAAAGTTTATATTGGATAAAATTGTAAAATCAAAAAACTTTCCTTATATTTAGGAGTTCTAAATAAATAAATAAAATCTAATATAATTTAGTGTTTGATATCTTCTCCTAATAAGGATACAATATATTAAAACATAAAAGAATATAAAAAAGGTAGGAGGAAAGATTTTTGTTGGTTTGCAACAAGGAAACTTCACGTTTTATGTGGTATTTTTTTTCTTTGTCCTTGTTTAATCAAAAAGACCAATTTTTCTTTTCATATGATTTATTTGTTGTTTTTAAAATTTAAATCATAAGTATTTTATTAGAAGCTTGGTTGTTAAATTCGTTAAAATTTACTATGGCATTAAGTTTTGAAATAGTAATTATTGTTGAAAAAAATAGTAATCATTAATTTGTGATAAGAAACTAATTATCATAATTTAATTTACAAAAGTACCTAAATTACCTCAATGCATATGTTAAAATAAAATAGATGGAAAAGGACTTTTATTTTTTGGTCAAACAAAAACTAATATTATTACTGAGAAATTTTGCTACATAATTTAACTTTACAAAACAAGAATTAGTTAGTAAATTCATCTCGTAGCTAATAGGAATTTTTTTTATAATAAATAGCTGATTCTGTCACTAAGTAGGATTATCGATAAATTTTATTATTTAACTACATAATTTATCTATCGTTAATTTTTCTTCTCTTTGTAGTTAACTTGTCTTAGAATACATGGTACCTAGATGACTATTTTGATACGAAATTAATATAAAAGAACGAGATACATAATAATACTAAACTTTCAATTATCTTGGTTGTTGTCGTGCTTAGATAGAACATCCACTATTTTTAGTTACTAAGTAGGCTCAATATTTGTCATATTCAAGAGATTATATTTTTAAAAATCTTATTGCTAAGGGCTTATATTTTTCATAATTTTATACGGATCGATAGAAGGTACACGTGCATTGCGCATATCCTAGCACGAAGACTCTTAGCGAAATGTTGTTCGCCTTTTTTTACCCTTTAATATAGATTTATATTGGTTATAATTATAATTTAATTAGTCTACTAATATTTAGGACTTAAAAATCAACTAAATTTTGGTCATTAAATCTTCCCTTATTCGGACTACATATATAGAAACTCAATTTTAGGAATTTAACACCAAATAAAAATTTACTTATAAATCCTTTCCTTAAATAAATTATGTAAAGTAGTTATGACATTTTCACACGTGCATTAGACAAAATGTGTATAAACGTGTTAGAAATCTACAAATAAAATTTTAGATCTAATTTTAAGTCTTCAAAAATTAAAGATTACAAATAATATGTAAACCAAACTTAAACATACTAGATCGTGTATGAAAAAATATATAAATAAGTTTAATACGACATGCTTATGTTTTGAAAATAATAGTAGTATTTTTAATTTGAAGTAATAAGTACTATAATGTACTTTAAATTAATTATTTGAATTAGTTGAATACATATTGTAAATTTATACACATATTAAATTACAAAACCAATTACAATACTCGAAAAGTAAAACATATATAAGATAAATTTATATATTGAAATTAATTAAAATAAATTATATACATTTATTCATAAGTAATTTAAGGTAGTAGTTAAAATAGCTAAAAGAAAACATAGTGAGCGAAAGGTATAAATTGATATTCCTCATTGAATTAGCTATACAAAATCAATATTCTTTGTTGAAATAAATTTACACATTTATTTTAATTTAAAAATAATATTTATATAATTTTTTAAAAGTTTTATACTCATTTAGATAGGTTACATGCGCAACGCGCGTACCGTAAGACTAGTCTATACTATATTAAAAGCACGAAGGCCCTTAGCGAAATGTCGCTCGCCTTGTATACCCCTTAAAACTAGATTTTACATTGGACAACATTGTCATTTAAACTAGATTTTACATCGGACAACATTGTCATTTAATAATTTTCCTAATATTTAAGACTTTGAAATCAAATAAAATTTAGTTTATTAAATCTTTCCTTATTTGCATTATTTAGACCTTTAAAATCAATTAAAAAAATTTAAAACTAAAAAATACATAGAACGTGAAATTAAAAAAACTTACCTTATGTTAATTATTATGTGTGTTTAAACATGGAAACTTGAATTATTCTAATTTATTGCTTTCGACATAAGGTCCCAAATAGTTGTTTTGCAATTAATGTGTCAAATTGTAAAATATTCCGCCGACGTAAACAGAGATTCCGCCTGGATTTACGATTTAATGAGATTTGAACTTATTTGCTATAATCATCTAGAGAAAAGGGAAGCCAAACACTTCTATAAAGTTATTATTCTACATTCTCCATCAACATTTTTTTAAAGAGTATTAATCAAAATCTATGTGGACGGCTGCAGAATAAAAGAGCAAAATTTAGCAAATATCTAAAAAAAAAGTATTATTAGTTCTCTATTGATTTGCTAGCCATAAGCATAGATTATGCATTGATTATATACAATTATACATATATAATATATAAGTTATGCATATATTATACATTTATTGGCTATTTTTAGTTTAAGCAGTTGGGCGGTCGGCTATTTTGGTTAATTCTTCTAATTTTTTTTTTAAAAAAATAGATCCAATGTTATTTTTATTAATTTCAACTGATTCTATTCTATTTTGTCCGTTTTTAGTTCATTGGTGAAGATAGTAACTTTAAAATATGGCCTTGT